ACCCCGTCCTTTAGATTGTAGGCGTTGAATGGAAATCAGCGTATGCGAGTCCTTTTTGTATTGTGGTTATTGTGGACGCCCACTCTGCTCGGTGATGTTAAAAAAATAATTCTCTCCAAATTGGGATACCCCATTAATTACTGACAAATACATTTTTCCTTTCTTTTTTCTAAACAAATAATATGGGTGTGTGAAAAAATATCCATTTATAAAAATCTGATTACTTCCAAAGGTTTTTTTCTTTTTACAAAAAAAAAAAAAAGATTATATATAAAATGCTATGAATGTGAGAAGAGAAAAAAAAAAATTAAAAAATTAAAAAATTATAATTTATTAAATAAAAAAAGATAATTAATAAATTAGTTTTTTTAATATGAAATAAAATATAAAAATTAAAAAAAAAATAAAAAAAAAAATTAATGTGGGGTTAATTCAAATAATAGACTTTGCGTAATTAGTTTTATAAAAATTTTTTAATTAAATTGAAATTTTTTAAGAACAGTGTTTAAACACAACCTAAATAGTTTTTTTATATGTCCAATAGATTGTCATCATTGTTTTTAATTAATAAAAAAGACAATTTTGTATATTAAATTTAGCAATTTCTTTCTGTATTACAGCGAAAAAATATGTAAAATATTATATATTATATATTATTTATTATTTGATCCAATATGTTTATATTAATATTATTATTATTTACCAATGAACTTTTTTAGCCAAGTCATTCCAAAAAGATAGTGGTTCTTCGTTTGCATACATACAATCATTTCTATAATTAAAAGGTTTACTTATTTTATATTTTGGTAACATATTAATTTATATATATTACCATTTATAATTGCCAAGTCACCTACTTGATTATCTTTTAATTATTCACCTGTTTCTTGAGAAATAACCATTAATTTATAGCCTGGGATTGGATAACCAACTCTATTTAACTTTGCTTTACCTTTAAAAGAAATTAAAAATGCACGCAGGTGATTCTGTGTTTGGCTCATTATATTGTGTAGCGGGTGATTGGTTTTTTTTTTCTATTAACGATCCAAAATCATTTGATAATCCTTTATTATTATTATCATTGCTCATAATCAATATTGATTTTAGTTTATTATCTGTTATTTATTGCATAAATGAGATATTTAAAAATAAAATGTAAAAATAATAAAAATTAAAAAAAAAAAAAATTTAAAAAAAAATTAAAAAAAAAAAAAATTAATTTTAAATTATATTTTATCTAAAAATAGAGAATATTATAATAATAAACTTTTATTGATGATGGATGATTGAATGATTGGTTTTTAAATTGGGAGAATTATTAGATAATAATATGAAACAAAGTGGTTGGAGATGTAGTTTCATTAATTTTCAGTTTTTTGAAATAAAAAAAACAATTCTATATTTATAAATTTAAATTTTTAATGTCCACCAAACACTTAATATTTTTTGTTCTTTATTTAATAACCTATTTAATATTATTTTAAAAAAATCCGCTTTGCAACATATATATTATTTCAAATTAAATTATTATATGAAAAAAACGATTTATAAAAAGTAATGATTGGCTATTAATGATTATTTTAACACTAAATCAAACAAAGATAAGTAATTTTAGAATGTAAAAATTAAACACCCTTAAAAATTACCAATAGGCTAGGTAATTTTAGATTGTAAAGTAAAAAGAAGATAAAAAATACAAATTATTTTCATAATAATTTCAAACACAAGGTGTTCTTAAAATTGGGTTAATATGTCTTTATAATCATTATGTTTTGGTGTTGTTGTAATATTTTGGGATGTTTTTTTTTTTTATTATTTATAAAAAAAAAAAAATTAAAAAAAAAAAAAAAAAAAAGTTGGAAATTAAATTAGATTGATTTCTTATTTAAAAAAAATATTATAAAATACTCATTTAAAATAATAAACCGTTTTTTTTTATTTTTAAAAAAAGAGGTGGGTGAAGTGGTTTTTTTATAAACTATATTAAATTTTTTTATTTTTAGCTTATATCAGTTTCAATAAGATATTAACACCCAAAAGACAATTTTTTTAATTAAAAAAAAAAATATAATTAAAAAAAAAAAATTTCAAATATAAATCAAAGCTTCATTTATTAAAATTTTTTTATTATTATTTTTAAAAAAAAATTCATTCATTTAAATATAAATATAAGCTTTATAAAAAAATAAATAAAAAGTAATTATAAAAATTAATTAAAAAAAAATAAAAAAATAAAAATTAACAAACCTCTTTTATTTATATTTATTCAAATGAAAAGTGTCAGGACCATGGAATATATGTATGATATTGATGCATTTTATTGAATATTTTAGAGAAGTTTTCTAATTTTTTTTCTTTTCTTTTTAATTAGTTCCAGGTAAAATTCAAGATCAAATTGTATGTATATTATTCTCTTTATTCAAAATATTTCATTTCAAAAAATAAACTAACTAAATTTTAGAATACTATGGTAAATGAACCAACTATTATAAAAGTTAAAGTTGAAGGTGGTGTTAATGGCAAGTTAAAAATTATTTCTGTATGGTTTGGAACATCAGAAATTCATGAAGTTCAAGGTTCTGGGGAAATCACTGGTAACTATAGAGGTGAACTAATAAAAATTATGAATGAGGGATATGCACCCATAAGAGTTAGTACCAATTTTAAGGTTTAAAAGTACCTAAATTAATAAAAGAATTTATTTTGGTTAATAAAAACAATAAAAATTTGTTTTTCAATACAAATTTAAATAATAAAATTAAACCTTCCATTTATTGGAATAAAAATAAAATTTGGATATCAATAAATTTTTATTTTAAGATTATAAAATATGAAAAAATTTTAAAAAAACTAAAACTTTATAAAAATTGGAATAAAAAAATTAAATATAAAATGAAATGTTTCTTTTTATATTAATTAATATATTTAGCTAAAATTTAAACCATATTATTATTTTGAAGGAAAGGTTTTACTAGGATTCATAGTATAGTTGATATTCGGTGGCAGGTGCAGAATAGTGACCACTAAATCTTTTCTTTATCTAAAACTATTCAATGATTTTAATAGTTACTTGGCCAGAGCAATCTATTATAACCATCAAATAGTAAATAGAAAACTTCATTAGTGTAGATTTGATTGGTGCAGTCTCGGTACCACGGTTTTAATCTTTAAATTATTTGATTTTAAAGAGTTGATATCACCTACTAAAATATATTTACATTTGAACTAATTATTTACTAAATAATAATTATATTAATACTAAATTATAAAAAACATTAAATATAATATATTATAAACTTACAATTGATTATTTAATAAAAAACCTAAAAAAATTATAATACAAAGTGGGTTGTGAAGTGTGGTTATTGACATATTTAGTCAATTGGGCGTATAGTGTGTTGTAATATTTAATCTAAATATTTAAAATAAATATTAATAAATGGTTTAATATTAAAAAATAATATAAATACATAAGATATTTTACCTAAATTATATTGATATTATCAGAAGCACCGTTTGAAATTAAATGTTTTTGCAATTTTATTGAATTAAAGACCAAATTGTTTTTTAAATGATAATAATTATATTGATGTGTGTTGTGGGACCCCTTCTCCAAGTTTTTTATTTTCCCCATTGTATTATGATGATGCACCAGTAGAGTCGAATCTTGATTCTGGTGCATAGAAATTTGGGTACTTTGATGAGGCGATTGGTGTTGAGTGTGCAGATGTTGCAGGAGCGGTGTATATGGTGACCCAATCACCAAGTTCTTCATCAAACTCCTCAATTGATGGACCCTCAACTATTCCCTCATATGATTGTGTTGGTGCACCTGTGCTATTGTATTTGGATTCTTGTGCATAAAATGTTGGATAATCAGATGAGGTGACAGGCTTACTTGGTAGTGGTGTTGGTTGTGTTTGTGATGGGTAAATTGTAACCCATTGACCAATTACTTCATCATATTCTTCAATTGATGGTCCATCAATGAATTGTGGATGGGTGGATGAAGTGTACATAGACTCTGGTTGTTGTGGTGGAATTGGGGTTTGTGTTGGAGTTGGAGTTGATTTTGATTTTGATTTTGATTTTGATTTTGATTTTGATTTTAATATTAATTTTATTTTTAATTTTAATTTTGATTTTGGTTTTGATCTTGATCTTAAGAATGATTTTGGAATTGGTGTTGGTTGTTTAGTTGGAGCTAGTTTTGATCTTGCTCTTGATATTGATTTTAGTTTTGGAGTTGATTGTGGTGTTGGTAGTGGTATTGGTGATGGTGATGTAAGTTTTGAAGTTGGTCTTGTTCTTATTCTTGGTCTTGATATTAATCTTGGTATAGATCTAAGTCTTGGTCTTGAGGATGTAGTTGGAGTTGATCTTAGGTATGATTTTGGAATTGGTTTTGGGGATGGAGTTGGTTTTAATTTTCCCTT